ATCCTGGGAACAGAGGTTTAGGAAGAGACACCCCAATACTGTGGAGCTGAAACAACATAACCCAGAACAGCCTATATAGCCAGGTGGTTGGAGATACCCCTGAGGACACATTCCAAGGATCTGTCTGGGGAGTGATCCAGGGAACAGCCTGGAGAGGAAGCAGCACCAGAGCGAGTGCTAGAGCTAGAGTCGCAGCTGGGTAAGTGGCTACCACCAGTTTTGTTGTTGTTAGAGGGAAATTGCAGCATAGGTGGGAGACAGTTTTGGATTATGACCAATAAAATAGTTATGGAGGCTATTACGTGCAATGGGATGGCTTTAGGTTAAGGTGAGGTTGAAAGCCACTTCCTCTCTCTACCTCCCATTCCTTTTCTCCACCGTGTGTGATCTGAGGTGGATTCCAAGCAAGGGAAAAAATTAAACAGGAAACTGATGATTAATTCCTACTGAATTTATCTGATTACTAAAACAACAATCAAAACTGGGATTACAGGTTTAGCAAGCAGGAGTGCATATTTCAACATAAACTGCCCCTTTTGTAACTTTAACACCAATAGGCTGATATCGAGTAAGAGTTATACAATTACTAGCATTCAAACACTGTCCCCCACAGCCTGGATTATAAATCACAGTGGCTGTATTAAGTGAAAAAGTCCCTTTGGGACTACAGTACTTGGCTTCCTGGTGCTCTCTCCATTTACAACATGCTGTCCAGGTGGGGGATGGGGAAGGGAGAGTCAGTTCCACTGAAGCAAGTCTCTGAACTCCAGTTCAGCCCTCTGTTAATGTTTGCTGAACTTCCCCTCATCCTCTTCACCCCCACTTACCCCTCCCCATAGGTGATGTTTGAGAATACAGGAGAAATTTAAGACAGTAATTGAAATTCCTGGGCAGAGGGAACTTCCAGTGGCTACCCCCAGGCCCTCTCCACTCTGTGGTATGCTGTTCATTCATCAGGTGACAAAAATATCCTGTACATAGATATATGGAGTTCTACTATTAGCCTAGAAAAGTTGAGCATTCTTCCACTTGGTGATTTCCAGCAGATTAAGAGCCTCTAAGGATTTTGCAGCCTGAAATAATCTTAAAATAGGTTTTGCATCCCACAACCAGTTCAAACAAAATTATCCATTAAATATGAAATCTTTGCCACAGTGCACCTGCGGGTTGGCAGTCTAGTCGGCGGCATAGTCTGAGCAGGCTAATGTGTAGAGTTGAGATGAAGGTGTATCAAATTGATAAAAGCATCTACCCTTGCCCTTGCCATGACTTAGAGGTATAGAGAGGTTTCTCATTTTCTCTTCTTCCCCTCCCTCTCACCCCTGCAGTTGACATCTCTGCTAAACAGATAACAACACTGGCTTCTTATAAGTAAGGACCCTGAACTAGTGGTGAAAACAGAAACATCTCAAGGGATGGCTTTATTGCACTAAACAGTGACTCTAGGTACATGTCAGATCAACACTTGAACTTCCAGGAGGGTGACTATGGAGAGTGAGAGGTGGGGAAAAAGCAGACATGAAGCAAAGAATGGTCATTGCAGTTCTTTGGGCATGAAGAGGAAGAAAGAGGAGGCAAAACTGAGAACAGCAGAAAGCTAATGGTGCTGCTGCTAACCTAGATAACTTCCAGGCTACAGCTCTTGCCTCTACCACCAGCTCCAGTGTCCATTTCCCTTCCTGCTGCTGTGTTCTACAGCCAGTGGAGCCACTGGAAAGATCAGGATCTCTCTATCAAAGCTTGGATGGGCTTTGAACTGCTCCATAAGCTAAAATGGGCAAATGCTTCCCATTCACTCTGCTTTTGAATCTGAGGATAAGGAGGACATATACACTGCTGACATCTAGTTCTATTGTTCACGTAGGCACTTTTTAAAAACTTGGTGATAGCCATCTAAAATAGTTGTAATTTTCTTTTAAAAGCTTTGTCGTTTTAATACTTTTTATTGATAACATAGTTAACTGTCATATGAATGCTTAGGGCTTCTGGAGAACTTTTCTTTCCCATCAAAAGCTTTTAGCAAACTATAAAAATCCCCAATAGTCACAAAAACCCAAAGCAAATAAACTGGGAACAAGAGTACACAGCATCACTTTTCCTTTTACGTGCCATTCTGCAAAACAAAGATGTGGGCACACAAGCCATCCCTTGTTTCCCTGGCTTACCTGATCCAGTCCCAGCAACGACAGATGCTATTCCCAGTTGCCACTAGCAGTCCTAAAAACCAACAGTGCCTCAACCCCACACTTGCCTGGTGAAAATTCTCATGCACATCATCGTTGCCAGTGTTGTGTAGGGCACTGTCTGCTACAATAATACGAAGGTCATTGAATATCCTGCTGTCTAAGTGGAGGACAATCTTGCCTTCAGCCTGCTGATTGTATATACTACCACTATCCTACATCCGTTAGGTGGGTAAATAAACCACTCCATAGCTGTTCTGAAGTCAAGTGACAACTGTGTGAACCACACTAGTATGGGTTGAGTAGGGTTCTTTCAAATGGTAGTGGGGACTGACACAGCATTAGTGTCTATAATATATTATTTAAAGGGATTAAGTTCCCTGCTTGTCCCAGCAGGTGAATGCCAAATCTTATCAGCACTGTGGTGTCAGGCAACTGTTGATGTTCATGAACCTGCATTTCAGAACAACCAATGCAGGACAATGGAGTTGCATTCTTTGAGGTCATTATTCATATGTCTGGTGGGCAAACTATGGGTACATTATGCTGTTGATGGCAATAGTTTCAGAAGCCTGTTCTCTGAAATCTAGTTAATACTTTAGCAATGTGCATCACAGTATTAATCAAGAGAAAGGTTGGCCACATATAGCTAACTCCCCATGTAGCTAATCACATATAGTTAACTCCCCATGTACGTTGGTGAAAGGGAGTTAACTGTTTTCTTATTACCTCCTCAAATACAAAGCCCATAGTCATGTATGACAGGCTTCTGATCAGGGACCGTTTTTAATTGGTAGGAATCACCTCCACTGCTAAGTCACTGACATTTTGGCTTGCCAGTCCCAAGCCACCATGAAACTAGATATCTGGGATAGCTTCCAGATGAAAGTACCATTCCATTTCTGAATTTATCTGTATGTCCTGCAACTGGTGGGTTGTGGCAAACTTCTCATACAGTTCCATTAAAGCTTGTTTCTTTACATCAGATTTCTGGAGCCAATGCTCATCATTCCTGTCTGCATGACAATGTAATGAATTGTGGATGTAACTACACGGGAAGGGGTGGCATGTCTCTGGTGCACACACTTGCAAGTGGGCTTGGCCAGCCTTAGTACAAATGCCAGGGAGCACAGACCTGAGTAAAACTCGCTGTGTCAGCTTACCCTCAAGTGTTCAAGGACCCATCACTGGAACCTTGGGGTACAGAAAGTCAGTTGGAAGGAAGCTCACAGCTGTTGCAGGAGAAGAGATTTGGGCCTGGTGGATTGATTTATAGAAAATGGGGAGCCAAAATAATTATCCTCCTAGGGCCAGCTCTGGCTCTATTTTACAATGGTCTGCAATTTCTAAAGTTTCCAGGATTTTTTTTCTGTTGCAAAAATACAGCTGCTACGAAGTCAGCTGCTAGTAAATTAACCTGGCTTGGAAGAAAAATGCTGGAATAAAAAAGTAACAACAAAGATGTGCATCCATTCACCTTAACGAGGTGTGAACTTAAAGAGCTATGTAGGCCATATAAAGGCTACCAATAATTCTGAAGTATTTTTTCTTCTTCTTGTAAAAACAATAATGTTACAGAACCCCAGTAATCCTGTGCAGTGAATAAGGGAGGGGTTCTGCAAAGAAAGAGTTCCTTACCCTATTATTAAAGACTCTGCCATAATGCATAGACAAATGAAGGCATAATTAAAATTGCAGAGCAAGTAGGGCATTTTCTAACTTTTGAGTGCTTCACTTTGTAATCTGAATAATGTTCTTTAAATGTAGGTTTTCACTGTTGTCAGGCAGTTTCAAGGGCTTTTTTCAGGGAAACATGGAGATGAAAATGAAAGTATATCCAATGCAGTTTTTGCCAGGTAGAAGTCAAATGTTAGGTATCCGGATTCCTTAGTTATATTCCTGGCTCTGTGAAAGAGATGCTGTCTGGTGGTTAAAGTTACATGCAAGTTCCATGTTTTGAGCATTATGATTCCTGAGTGCAATGTGTATGTCAGTGAAATTTTTGCACCACATAATGGTCACTTACTCATTTCTGGCTCACCAAGCATTTTGTGCAGGTAGATTTGCAAGAGGAGCCCCCGTTTCTAAATAGCCAAATGCATAAAGTTGGGTTGCGTGTTTTCCAAAAGGCACAATCGGTGGACGTGACTTGTGCTGCTGTACTAGTGATCTGAGCTGAAATCATGGCCCAAATAACTCAAAAGGAGTTTTCACACTTTTTTAGAGGGATCAGATTTAACCCTCTCCAGAAGCAATCTTGTACAACCTCTGTAGTCCTCAGTTTACAGCACTTTAAAATAGAAGGGCTGATATTGTTTCTCCTCCTAGGGTTAGAGTCCAAAACGTTATTTGGGAGTAAATAAAATTCTGAATGCCAATGTGTGGAAACATGCAGCTAGAACTCCAGGTCTCTTGGCCCAGTGTATCTTATCCTAACCAAAGAGTACTTTGATAGGGAAAAGAAGCAGAAGGATCTGTTTTGTCTGTGCCAAGTTTAGAGCTATAATTCTATCTAGTTGCTAGGAAACTATGCAGGAGGCTTAGTGGGGCCTGGGAACATATTAAGAGCAGCATGGCAAAAGTATGAACTTACAGAAATAATGAGCAAGTGTAGCGCACATGTGCAAAGTGTGATTTTCTGTGGCTTAGAACTCAGTTGAATCTTGCAGCAACAGCAAGAGGCACCTTTCCAAACACTGGATTCTTTCCCTGCAAAATTTTAAGTCTGTACTGGTTAGGTCTTAGAGCTTTCTTTAAAAAAAAACTCTGAAAAAGTCTGATTTAGCCAAAACAATTTATTTTTTATAGATCTACTATTTTTGAGAATCATCTTGACATTTCTTTAAAAAAAATTAATTTCAACAATTTGAAGCAGATACCAACCACAGAAAATTTCAGCTTAAAGCGTTTAAAATGTGCTGAAGTTTTAAGCAACTTAACAAACGTTATAAGCAAAGCTGCAACATCATAAAGCAGAGGACACAATGACAAGTGCCAGGTAGATTTAATAAAGACATTTCTACTGTACAACCTATAACATCCGTGTTTGTATTTTTATTCTGCCCATATCTGTTCTGTGATTGTGTGGCCACAGAATTTGATTCTTGTTTGTTCTGCGATTATGCTGCTGACACAATTTGCTGCTGAATCAACCACTTGCTACACACTCTTTTTCCAGAAAGTTGGCTTTCATTCAAATTATTTTTTCGTGGCTCATGGTGAAGAAACCTTGAAAACATGAACAGAGTATTCAACAAAGCAGTGTTGTATTTCTGAGTCTACAGGCAGCTTTGAACAATGGCTTTGAGCTCCGATTTTGCCAATTCATTTTTGGACACCTAAAGATAATAAATTAAGTACCACTACTAAGAACTATTTCACTGCTGCTCATTTCAAGAGAAATTCTACAAATGAGTTTATCCCAATCCAAAACTACCTCCCATTCTTTCCAGGTAAGAAAGTGAATACTCTGTGCTACTTATGTTATTTGATTTAGTTTGGTCCACTGTAAACTTAAAAAAAAATAATTTCAAGCTGTCAGAAAACTTATTTTTTACTCTCAGAATGTTGTAAAATTTATGGAGCATTAGGTAGAATTTGTGTAGTTTGCCATGAGGTATGTAGAGCTTTGCTTAGATTTATAGAAAAAGAAACATTTAACCTATAAACCCCAAAGCAATATAAATGAGAAATCAAAGGTTAGAGAAATGTGTATATATACTATGGTACTTAAATGAAAATATTCAAGAGCAATGCCTGTAACAAACATCAACATACGCTAAATCTAGGCCTAATCTAAATTGCTTGCTATAGATTTGAGGTACAGAAATCTTTCTATTTTTAAGACAATTGAATGCTTTCTATATTACCAATATTTCTTTCAGTTGATAAAGTATGTAACATTCTTTGTCATTTGCTACATCAGTTGCAGAGTGCAGGCTCACTCCTTATCAGAGGCACAAGAGAAACAAAACAGAGAATAAAGGGCGGGAAAATGAGAATTTTAGTACATGGTAAAATAAGCTGTAATTTGGTAATGAAAAATCTCACCATTCTTTTAATGAACTGTGGTAAATGGGCCACTGACACTGGAAATCCACATTTAACTGTCAGTTTGAATTGTTAAAAAAACAAAAGCAAAAAACCCCAAACAAAATGTTGACATGGAAAAGGCCTGCTCCTAGTCAATTGACTAGATGCCATATATAGTTTACAAAATCCATCACAGACGTTGCCTGAGCAATCACATTCACTCATTCACTAAACACACTATAAGTAAACATTCATAATTTAATTTTTCCATGTTAGGCTTTTTAATAAAATAAGCAGAGGAAATGGAAAGAAAATATATCCATTGTTCTTGTGATTTCTAGTTGTAATAATAATTACTACTCTTCATGTTAGGTGTAAAACATATCTTTTTAAAAGCTTACAATTTTGTGCCTTTAATCAAATACGAGAGATTTGACTTCCTGAAAACCCCCTACTCCCAGCCATGGTTTCTGAGCAGCAGTGAGGATTCTTTAGTCTTCACTGTGCAGTCAGTGTTTAACATCCCAACAAATTATTTAAGTTTTATAAATTTGCTAAAAAACATTTCCTCCATTCGTACTACAAGGGGTTTTTATTAGTTCCAGGCGGAGTCCCCAATTCGGCAAGAAGCTCTGTGTATTTGTGAAATCCTGAGCCTTTGGGTCTGGACCCAAGAACAATTGCTCTGTAGCAATTTTGCTCCTGTGTGCAACAGTATCCTCTCAAATTTTATGAGGGGTATTTAATGTCATCCCTGTCTATCATAAAATTATATAATTACTCTCAAATGATTTTTTTAGAAATGTGAGAAAAAATCTATATAAGTGAGTCCCATAAATATAAAGCTTGAATATTTTTGTATTTTAATTTGTTGTAATATCTGCAACAGTTGCAAACCATCATTAACTTTTTGTAATTCAATTTTTAATTGTTAGAGAATACTGTGAATACCAAAGAGATTCATATTGGTACATTACAACTATTTTTACACGTGTGGTCCTTTAAAATAACCAATTAATTTTATTTAATTTTTTTACCTTTCGGGGAAAAAAACAAAATTAAAAAAAAAAGTTTTGGGATTGAAAACATGTATATGCCTGGTTCAGCCTGCAATAATGTTCATTGTCCTTGAAATACTTAAATATAGAGTGTATGTAAAATGTTATTCACCATCACATATTTGGCACCAATAAAGATGGATCACATGACTATGGATCTCAGAAGGGAAAGAGTCTGATCCGGAGAAAGCATATAAAACACAATGATGGGGATTTTTCAAAACTAGCTATTTAAATCTATTACAAATACTTACGGCCTAATTTAAAAAAAAATCCTAGCACTCAGCAACTCCCATTTAAAATCATTCTCAGTGTTTGGAGCTGTAGGTTTGTCCCGTATTATTTATGCATCCAGATTTGTAATCCACCTCAATAGGAATTTAGGGTATTCCTCAAAGCTAAGATTAGGTACTAGGTTGCTTTATTTCAGCAACATATGGATGTAATCCTGCTTGGGTTGGGTTTTTTTTTTTGGGGTGGGGGGGAAGTTTCCCTTCAAAAACAAAACCGATTTCAAAAACAAGTTGAAGGATGCTAGCATTTCTATTCTGTACTAGTCAGTTTAGATATGGTAATTATTTTGATTTCAATATTTATATCAAATATATATGTAAGAGGAAGACTTGATATAGATAGATAGCTAATGTGTTTATATAGATATATATATAGATATATATCTATATATAGCTACATTTGATATATTATATATAGATATATATCTATATCAAGTCTTCTTCTTACACTTATATTTGATATAAATATTGAAATCAAAATAATAATGACTGTGTGTGTGTGTGTATGTATAGATGTGTATGTATATGAATCAAGTATTCCTGTTACACATGTATTTGATATAAATATTGAAATTAAAATAATTACCGTATATATAATGTGTAACAGAAAGACTTGATCCCTTTTCTTCCCGAAATGGAATTGTGATATAAACTTGTGCTTTACACGACAAAAACTGTGCCTTTACAACAACATTGGAAAACAATGCACAGTCAGCACAGTCCTGCCGTTTTCAAGCGCACACACATAGACACCCCCACTTCAAAGACTTGCATTTAAAAAGAACTGGGTAGACTCAATTGACATCTGCTGACTTCAGGGTCTCTGACCTGTCTGGAAACGCATACTTTAGCGCTGGTGCCCCCTCCAGCTTTCGCGCGTTCTCATTGGCTGCGGCGCGATGAATATGCAAATATACCCCTCCCTCCCCGGCCCGGGCACGGTTTCTCATGCAGCCGCCAGGCGGAAGCGAAGAGCCGCGCTTCCCACGGGGTCGCGGGGAGGGGCGCGCGCGCGGGGCGCGGGGAGGGGTGGTTTGGTGGGTGGTGATTAAGGGAAGCCACCGCCGCTGGGCTGGCCAATCGCGGGGAGGTGGAAGGAGGCCAAGTACGCAGCTCCGCGCTGGGATCGCCAGCTCATTCTGCAGAGCCAGACCCGAGAGGGGGGAGAGACGAGGGAGAGAGAGGGGAAGGAAAAAAAGAGGCAGCAACATACATACATAGAGACCAGCCCAGCTCCAAAAAAAAGGGCTCAGCCTCTCCTGGACCGCGTTCAAGTCAGCCACCAAAACCTACTCTCCAGCCTTGCAACTCAAAGAGGAAGGAAGATTGGAAAGAGAGATTGAGGAGGAGGAGGAGGAGGAGGGTCCTGCCCACTGCCTATAGACTTTAACTTTACCGCCTTTTCCCCTCTGGCCAAGAATTTTCTTCCCGTTTGGTGTCTCCATTTCTATATATATATCTATATATATCTATATAGATATATATATATATATTTAAAAACCGAGCAAATAACAATAACAATATTTTTTTTCTTAACAAAAAAAAAAGGCAGAAGGCCACTCCTGGGAATCCAAACAAAAAACAAACAAACCACACCGAGCCCTTGAGAAAAGAATAAATTTGTTACCTGAGAAATGTGAAGCCAACGGCCCTGTGTTGTGTGTTACAGATTTCAGGATCCCATTTATTTAATGCAATACAGTGCAATGGTATGTGGCATTGAAAACGATGCTTTTTTTTTTCAATCTACTTGGCTTGTTGCCTTTTCTTCTTTTCTTCTTCTTCTTCTCCAAGCTGAGATTTGTCTCTGTGGTTTCAAAGTGGATGTTATACCCCCTTCCTAAATGCTGATATCACTTCTGCTTTACAGGATGAGATATAAATGGTGGATTGTTTATATTTTGCTTTTTTGGCAGCTTTTGTATATGGGTCACACTTTTATGCCAGGAATCAGTTGATGGGAGTTTGCATCCAAAAGTGCTGAACTTGGCACATTTCCTGCTTCAACTTTCCACCCCCTCCCCCCTTCTTCTCTGGCAGACAACTATCGGTTAAACGCTGGAAAGGATTAATGCAAATGCTACTTTACTTGTACCTTGTAGACAGTCCCCCCCTACCCCCCTTTCTCTCTTTCTGATTGTAAAGTTCTGCTTTTCTCACCTTTGAGCCGCCTTGGTGTTATAATGAATGCACTTTTCTCCAGCCGTGTGTACTTTTGAAGAAAAATGGCAGTGATGGTTGTGTGTGCTGGGCTAGAGGTGGCCTCTGGAAACAGGCAGGAGTCTTTCCCACTGTGTTGTAGTGTGTGATGTTCAGTTTCTCTGTCGGATTTTGTCTCGGAAAGTTTTGAGGCTTGTTTCTGTTGTTGTTGGGGTTTTTTCACTCTGCTGTATTGCTGGGGGAGTTGTGCGTGCAGTTTAATTCATTCCTCTCTCGTGTGTGTGTGTGTGTGTGTGTGTGTGTGTGTGTGTCTGTCTGTCTGCTTTCCCCTCTTGTCCTCTCTCCGTCTGTATGTCTGGGCCACATTTTAATGCACAATATCCCATCCATTAAGTTGTGGTTGAATGAAGAGTGTGTGAGGACTTGGCAGCTCACAGGTTGAAGGGGGCGGGGAAGCCAGTTTCGACTTTGACACAAGATGCCGATGTGGCGTGATCTGAATTATTATTAGGGCTGCGAACATGGCCATCTTCTCCTCCTCCTGCTGCTGGAAAGGGCTGCCATTGAACTTGAGACGGGACAGACAAGATCTCCAAGTTTTGGTTTTTTTTAAGTACAGTAGCTGGCAGGGAAAAGGCGCCAAAATACACAAGATTAGCTCTAACTTTCTTTGAAGTGATCTTGAGCTGCAGCCCGTGTAATTTTAACGTTGAATCACAGGAAAAAAGTTAACTTTTGAACTCTAATTTGCAGAGACATTTAAATCAAACTTTTTTTTAAGGGAAAAAAAGAATAATTTCAGAAAGTCATACAAGCTGTCAGAAGAGATACAGCTGCAAGTTGTGTGCGTGCATATATGTGTGCAGGGAGTTTAAGATGAGTTCATGTGAATTTGGAGAGGAATGTGTTACGTTAGTGAGAGTTTCAAGCCCTTTGTAAGGCTGAGAACGTGACCTTTACGCGGCCGGGGTAAAAACTGTAGAGTTGTGTAACACAAAACGTTGTGGTTTGGAGTTTTACATTTGAGGTTTTCATTTTCTGGTCTGGGGAGACGGAGAATGCTCGGGTATTAAAGTCATCATCAAACCATATGTGGACAGAGGTCAGCACGCACACCCATACATACAGACGTATAGAGAGCGGGTGTGTTTTTCTCTGGGTTTCTGATCATTCAGAAAAATCCTCCTAATACTAGAACACACATTTATTTAAAGAGGTAATGCAAGAGTAAATGACAAGTTTGACTGCTGTTCACATTTTTTGTAAATCCATAGAAACTATAAACTTCAGCTGCATGCAAAATAAATTACAATATCGTGAACAGATTAAAATTTCATGTCCTTGTTTCTTTCCCTATTTTCTAAAAGTGTATCAGCAAAGGTTTAGTTGGGTGTGTGATAAAACACACACTTATGTGCGTGCATACGTGTGTATACGCATGTGTGTGTATACACATACAGATATGTGTATATGTGTGTGTGCATCTATGTATGTATGTATGTGTGTGTGTGTGTATCCATGTATATATTCTCACTGTTTTCCTGTACTATATAATATCTATCTATCTATCTATCGTACAGGAAAACAGAATTACACTACGTCATCTGTAATTGGCACTTTGCTTTGTACTTGAAAATGATGTCACAAGGAAATCCGAGGACGTTATCGTCTTAGTTCATCGTTATTAGTATCTGAGATGAGAGAGAGATTACACAGAAATATCTAAAATATAATATGTACTACGGTGTGTATATATTTGTTACACATATACTATATATAATCGACTCTGGGTTCATGTATATGTAGATATTTGTGTACATAACCAGCGTATTTTACGAGCTTGGTTTTCTTACTGCGGATGAAGTTGAAATGATACCTGCGTATAGCTTTTCTTTTCGGGGCATCAGCGCTTCTTGCAGATTGAATTGTATGGAACTGCTGCCAAATATTGGGGGCGAGTGACTTTATTTCTTGTTTTACAAAATAAATCCTTAGGTTTTGTTTTTTTTTTTAAAGAAGAAATGTCCAGTTTTCTGCAGACTGGACAGCTAGGAAATCCACACTCGGAGAAACACTGGTTATACAGTCCAGCATTAGCAGTGTCCTTCTCGAGGTAGAAAACGAGGTTGGTGCAAAAACAAAATCTTAGGATGGCTTTTGAGAAATAGGACCCCGATTGAAAATCCTGTACCCCAAAGAGTAGAGCCTCGATGCCCTAGCAGGCCTTTCTTTCTGTTTCTAACTTTTGCGATGCTCTGGAAACATGACCGAGTGCAGAATGTGTGCGCGCAAAGTTTGTTCCGAGCTGCCTGTGCGGGGAGAGGGGATCAGTGCATTTGTTCCCAACCGAGCCAACCTCTGCCTCGTCCGCGAAAAACTGCAGTGGAGGGAAGCACAGGTTTGTTCGTCCCTTGGTTTGGGGTTTTTGGGGGTTTGGTTTTTTTTTGTATTTTTAAAAAAAGGCTTCCCCAGGTCCAGTTGCCTAGTCTCAGACTTTGATTTGAAAACAGTCCCGCTCGGTGAGTTTGAGAGCAAATGCGCAGCTAGACGGAATGGGACGCTGGCTTGTATTTGTATTTCGAGGAGGTGTTTTTTGTTGTGTGTGGTGTTTTTTATACATAAGAGCGTGCGGATGCGTTGGTATTTGGGCGGGGACATGATGAACAGCACGGTTTGCTCCAGCTCCACTTCGTCCCCACGGGACGCGAACTAACTCCTAGTGGGCACAATTGCGGACACCGCTGAGGGGGGCCGAGGGACCAGCTCGGGACCTCGGGCGGGACTCTTGTGCGGAGCCCCGGGCAGGGCCAGCAGCAGGCGAGGGCGAGGTGGGCACTTGGCCCCGGCAGGGATTTTCCCCGGCCTGGAGCAGTCGCGGGCATCCCGGCCCTGGCCCCTGGGCAGAGGTGCGGACCGGGCCTGGCTCGAGCTGCTCCCCAGCCCCGGGCTCGGCTCACCCCCTCCCCACGTCTATTCCTGGAAAGGCCTGGAGTTAGTCTGGTGCAGGGCCGGGCCGGGCAGGGCACCTGAGGACAGAGGGGAGGCTCCCTGGCTCCCACGGGCTCGGCCCGCCCTTCCCGCCTTTTGCCTCGTGGGCGCAGGCACGTGGGGGGCAGGGACACGCTCACCCGACGCCCCAGCCCCTCGCCCTGCTCCCGGCGCCGCGCCCCGGGCGTCTGTGCGGGGGGGGGCCTCGTCCCTCGTCTTATTGCTACCGCTGGGGGCTGGTGCCGGTGCCAATGGCATTGCTCCGCGCCCGCTGCACGGGCCAGGCTGGCATGTTGGGGGGGCGGGGGGAGGGAAATCTGTCCTGTGACATTACCTGTCTTGGACGACCCCTTCCCCTCCTCGCCCCTCCCCGTCCCCTCTGGCAAGTAAATTTATGGCCCTTGCAGCTGGCCGGCTTGGCAGGCTCCCCTCATTAAGAGCCCTGTGTACGAGCGGGCTGTGTTTGAGCATTTCCCTAATGAGGACAGGACGGGGTTAAAAAGTGACCATTTCATGGTTGACTTGAACCTGCCTCCTCTCCTCTCCTCGCCCTCCTCCCTGCGCCGCGCTGCCACATGCCCGGCGCGGGGACCGCCTGGCTCCTGCCCCGTTGGCCCGGGCGGGCAGCTCCCGCGGGGAAGGGCCCGAGTGTCCTTCGGGACTTTTGGAGCCCCCCAGGGGCATGCCTGGGGCACGTTGCAAGGGACACCCGCGGTGGGGGGGGCAGCGGCTTTCCTCTGCCTCTGCGGGTGCCGCGGCCCCGAGCCATCGCAAGTGCTGAGGCAAAGGAGACGCCGGGGGGAGGGGGGGCAGTAAAGCCCAGCGCAGGTTTCCCCCGCTCTGCAGGGAGAAGGGGCTGCAAGTGCCCCAGTCCAGCCCTCCTGGCGGGCTTCATGAGTGGGGATTTGCCCCCCGCCATGCCCAGCCGGGTGTACGCCATGCCTGCCGGGCTGGCTGCGCGCAGAGCTGCGGCCCCCGCCCCTCGCAGCTGGCGGAGGGAATTTTCCACTGGGCACTTCCCAGGGCGAGCAAGGCAGCGGGCTGAGGATGTGCTGCCGCTCCCGCTCTCAGCACTGTGACCCCCAGCCTCACTGCTGCCACTTTCCTTCCCAGCAGCAATGGAGCCTGCTTGGAAAAACGTGCTGGTTTCTTCTCCGGCAAAAGATGATGATTAATCAGGAGGGAGGGATTGGGGAGGGGAGAGAAGTGGGGTCTGCTGGAACAGGAATGTGCAGGAGTGTGAGCGCCGGTTGTGTGATTAAATAATAATAATATAATAAGAAGTAAAACTAAAATAAAAAACCAGGGGCCTCATTTGGGAAAGAGCCCGAGCGGGTGGATCCGAGCGGGGTGTGTGTGTGTAGGTATGTGTGTGTAGGGAGGCTGTGTGTTGGGGGGTGTAGGTAGGGGGTGTGAGTGCAAGGGTGGTGTGTGCATGTGTAAGGAGGTGTGTAGGGTGAGGGGGGTGTGCGTGTGTAAGGTGTGTAGGGTGAGGGGGTGTAAGGAGGGTGTGTAGTGTGGGGTGGGTGTGTACGTATGTAAGGAGGGTGTGTAGGGTAGTGTGTGCATGTGTAAGGAGGTTTGTAGGGTGGGGGGTGGGTGTGCGCGTGTAATGTGTAGGGTGAGTGTGCGCGCGTGTAAGGAG